GAACCCAACACTATGGAAACTTACATACCTCTTAGGGTCAAATCCATGGCGAAAATCCGCTACAACACGCAAAAATCTCGACGAACACTTGATCCTCTCCTCTTTTCTCTTCTTGAACTCTCAACTAAAACCCTAGGTGTATTTTAGAATTATAAAACTGAACCTAATCAGATTAGACCCCTAAAAATATTACTAAAAATGAATTAAATCTGTTTTGGTAAGGAAAAGACCAAACTACCCCTCTAAAACCCGGTTTTGACTTTCCTTAACTGGACAGCCTAACTTCAAAAGGTCATAGCTCACTCATCCGACCTCGAAACTTATCAAACTCGGCGGCATTGGAAAGATAATTCAAAGATGTTTCCTACGGTAACTGGTAGAACGCCTAAATCATCCTGAGCTAGGAGTTATGGTCGTTTGAAGTCAACCCAAAACTCATACTTAGCTTAACTTGTAAAATTTCAGATTTTGTCTATTTCCAATTTAATTCTTTTTGGAAACTCAAGGTGCTACATCTAGTGACCTTAACACTTAATAAATTTTAATTCCTCGGTAAAATCTCACTCACTACGATGAATGGTTCGAGTCTTAGTTCAAAAAAAATTCTGGGGTGTTACAGATGAGGCCATAAGAAGCAAAAAATTGGAGTAAATGACATAAATAGTCTCTCAACTGTAAGAGTAGGTCTAAAATGGTCCCTGAACTATACACTTAACGGATTTAGTCCTTTAACTATTCAAAAATTTGTCAGCTTTGATCCCTTAACTATACACTTAACGGTTTTAGTTCCTTAACTATAAATTTACCAATTTTAGTCTTTAAGTATTTACAAACTTATCAAGTTTGGTCTTTGTCCATTTTTTTTAATACAAATAGCTTTCGTTTTTAATACGCACCATCCTAAACTTTGATAGTTTTTATTCGAAAAACTTATCATGCATCATGCTAATCAATGCGAATTTTATTTAATTTACTCAAATTTCTTTACGTAAAATAAAATGAATAGAATAATAAAATTGATCTATTTTTTAAAAAAAATTAAAAAATTGCAAATCTACCATTTTATAAATTACCATTTCTGTAAAATTAAACAAATTCCGTTCAATGAAATCGTTGGAGTACAATCTTTGGATTTAACGGATAATAACTTTTTTCTTTTATAATAAAGTTTAACATATTCAAGTCATTAGTAACAATAATATGCTTTTGGATTCACTTGAAAAAAATGTCGCACTAATGCAAAAGGTGTTTTGGAGGGAGTAAACTGTTAAGTATTTTGAAATAGCAGAATAGCAACAGCCACTTTATAATGCAGTACTTGACAAAATAGAGCTGAATTTAAGAACATGAAGGACTTGTTCACCTTCAAATAAGGACCCAAAGAATTAGCTTTAATCCAGGGAACAACAATAAAACGTTCTTAGTTTATAGTTCAGCTTTTGACAAAATGTACTGCATTTAGGAAAAAAAAATAGCAAATCTGGTATGTTAAACCTATTCAATAAATAGAACAAGAGGCGGTAATAGCAAGATTAACCATACAAGAGATGTTAGCATTATTTGTTTTAGTAAGAAGACAATTATTGTGTCTCAATTTTGGAGATGCCATTTTCACAGCTATCCATATTACAACTGTCTTCAGAACCTTTAACTTAATCAACATTTAAAAGTAATAAGTCAAGGAAACAACAACATAGCACTCAACTTGGATAAATATCCACAAAATAAAAGAAAGTACTTAAATAATTAATTGTTTGGGAAATTTTTTGAACTATAGATGGATAATAGGTATAGATTAAATTGATAAACGAAAATAGGGCCTTTTTAAGGGAAGAAATCCCCGATTGAATAGATGGGTAATTTCTTGAACAAGTTCTATTTTAGATAATTGAAGCACCATTGGACAGAGACAATTAATATGACAACACAAATAATGTCAAGGACTATGACTTATGTAAAATAAAATTTAATAAGGTCAGGCTCAATTTCAACGAGTCTTCTCATTTTGTAGTCCATCTCTTAGGCTAACCTAAAATATTGTTCGCTTCAGAGTTCAGACAAAGATTCAAAGAAACTACACATTAATTACTGATGTTAAATTTATTATTGCTTGTTATTCCCTCCGTTTACTTTTACTTGTCCATTATTTTTAAAAAATAGATTTTCGATTATACTTGTTACTTTTAACATATCAAAAAGAGACCAAAACCCAAAAAATCCTAATTTACCATCAACATTAATTACTTCGTCCCCAAATCATTTTTTCAAGATCCAAGTATAGATATCAATTAATATGAGTATTATGGTAAAACAAGACTCATATTAATCATTGTTTCTTAAGAACCATGTAAAATTAGAAGTAGACAACTAAATGTGAACAGAGAAAGTACATATCAAAATTTATGGTTAATTGAATTTGAAAGGTTAGCTTTCCCCACTAAGCTAATTGACTAAGAACTCTACATGTAGCTCAAACGACTTGACGATTAAGATACCTACATCTGGAGAGCAGATGTAAGTCCACATTTTCAAAACCCGAAGAACAAAATATGGTGGAATTTTGAAGGAAATAGTTAACTTGGAAATCGAAGCAGCAACTCGAGAAGAGAAAATCTCCGAAGAGTGGAGAAGAGAGAAAATAACAGCATAGATTTTAGAATAAAAGATCCAAAAATAGAATGGACTATGAGTTGAAGTTAAGATACTCATTGTAGAACCTTAACAACACTAACCATAATCTCCAACCCTAGAAAAACACATATACTTTGCTTATTTCAAATGAAATGGTGCTTAATGTTTAATAGGCTAGAACATTAAAAATACAGCCCCTTTCTACTAAGTGAATGGTAATCAACATATACCAAAAGGCACTGGCTAGTCACATATGTGTTACCACTTACCAGGTTCAGATATCCTTCTCAAAGATTAATAGTGTGTGAACATTTGTTATGGTACATGGTATATCAAGAACAAGTAATAATCCAGAGAAAACTCAAGGGAAACTTAACAGAAAATGACAATGAGACAAATATTAGAAAACCAGCAAAGCGAGCATTAATATAAAGATCTATTCTGCCAAAGATCTGGGCACAATAAGTTTTACAGTTTTTTCTATAATGAGGATGCAGATAAGATTTTTACATCAAGTGTGCTAATTAGATCTTAAGATAAGGTATGAAGGATAACGAACCTCTTGGGCAGGACGGCCATAGTCCACATGATCTCTTCCTCTGTGATCGATTCTAACAACACTACCCCAAAGCTATAAACATCACTCTTTTCATTCAAGAGACCAGTATTTGCATATTCAGGAGCCACATACCTGTCAAATATTTGTAAGGATGTGAAATAATATAATACTGCAAAACTTCTGTTTCAACTTTTTATATCTAAAGAGGTAATAAAACAGGACACCAGAAGTTGAAGATTGTAAAGTCCAGAAGACCAGAACATGAAGAATACTCGAGCTGGAATAAAATCAAAAGAAGCAGAAGGAAGAAACTAACCCAAAGGTTGACTCTAGTTGTGATATGACTTTTACCGGCACCAAGCAGTTTGGCCAGACCAAAATCAGAGACCTTCGCATTGAAGTCATCATCAATCAATATATTACTTGATTTGATGTCTCGATAAACAACTTTGGGCTCAATATTCTCATGCAAATAGGCAAGACTGCAAGAAATGATAGCACAAGGAGAACTTATGCTTTAGCTGTCCCAAAATAGATTTATCTTAATTGAATGACCTTACACTTTTGCTGTCCCAAGGAGAACCTTCATCCTAGCCTTCCAAGTGAGATGCATGTGGTGTCGCATGGCTCCATGAAGCCACTGTTCCAAATTTCCATTGTTGACATACTCGTAAACCAACATCTTGTGGTGATGCTTTAGAACAAAGCTATTTTCAATGCTAAACAAGAATACTCATTCAATTACTTCACATGCGCATGAAAGTAATTGAACAATCCAAAGCTTCATATTTCATACCCATAAAAAGTATAGGACTATCAGGGACTTCCAAATGGGGAAATACCTGTGCATTCCTTCAATGCAGTATCCTAGAAGGCTAACCAAGTTTTTGTGACGTACGTGGCCAATGGCTTCAACCTCCACTTGAAACTCTTTCTCTGGGACAAAGATCTTAAATTCAAACTCAAGTTGGCAACTAAAACAAAAGGACCATTAAGGAAAGCATATAATTTGATTTTATCAACTCACAGATTGTTGAGGAACTTATTAATATCTACCAGTGTTCCATTAATCAAATTTCCGTGGTAGACCATGCCATATCCTCCCACACCAAGAATATTCTCCTTTGAAAACCTTACTTCAAATCCTCCAAAAGTAGAATCTTTTAGGATGATCCAACATGGGTGCGCCAATACTTTTGAAGAGTCCGAGCAACATACTCTTCAAAAATGTCAATAGGTGCATATGGATCTTCCAAAAGTAGTGCATGTGTAATGAAATGGATCTTGGGCCTAACTCAACCCCAAAAGCTAGCTCATAGGGCGAGGATTGTCCAAGACCATCCAAGGCGACCAATTACCCGTCCATATCCGATATGGTACTCTCAATAGCTTTTTGGATGATTTGACATGAGTGTGACAATACTTTTGAAGAGTTCGAGCAACCTAGTGAACAAGTAACCTTCCAGACAAGCTTGATTAATAACATAGATATAGAAGAGATAGAGCATACTTAATGTATAAAAAGCGTGTAGTTCATGTAGATGCTAAAAACACAAAACTTTGGAAATTGCCTACTCGTATTGGCATTCACTTAAGTCAAAATGACAGTAAATCTTAAAGCCATGCCCTTATTAACAACTTTGTCTTCATCAATTCCTAAAAAGAGAACACTTGAAAGGATTAAAAAAAAAGATTAAAGGAAAACTAAGTATTTAGCTTCCAAATTCCCACTTCACAACAAGCAATACCATTGGCCATTTCCTCATCCTTATATTATGTAAAATTATAACAGTTCATTTAATTCAAAGTTGTGTCGTCAAAGCACAGAAAGGTTGAGCTAGTTCATTCTGAAATTGGGGGTTCAATACTGATACACTTTCTGGCCCCCTTGGCATCAACCCTTAAATTTTCATACACAATCAATTCTCTTGAAAACCAAGTTCTAAAACTACCTACATGTTCTAAAACTACCAGGACCAACACTACACCCAACAGAATAATAAACTACATGAATTCATGCTCCTACATAATTTTTCAGCCCTCAAACCAAAATAGGTAGGATTGTAAATAAATGTTAATGACATTTATTGATTGCTAAATAGCCAAAAATACAAAAAGTTACTTACCTCATCTTCGTAAGAAAGATTCAACTTCTTCATCAAGTACTTTTAGATGAATAAACTGGGAATATTGTCATCCCTGCAATAGAATGTAAAAGATATGAATACAATCATGAGCTATGCATTTCAGTGAATATAAAAAAATGTGCATATAGTTGCTTCATCAAATTCTTCAGCAAAAAAGGTGCACACTTTATGCAATCAAACATGTTGAGCACCAACTTTCATTTTCAACCACAGAAGTTGTGAGATTCTATGGTTAAACTTTATATTCTGAGGCTAGATGACGTACAACTGTAAATACGTACGGGAGGTTCTCAATAAATCATAGATATGTTATTCACATTAGATTACATTTCAGATGACTTGAAGGAATAAAACTAAATGTTAAGTTTGTAAGGAAGGTCATCTGTGCCTTTGCAGCCACGTAGAAAGGAAAGTTATATAGCAATCTCAACCAATAGGAATAATTATAACATTGGCTATGAATTTAAGCCATCAAATTGGGAAATCTGACGATAACGGAGAGAAGATAGGACAAATATTGAGAGCTAAAAGTTTTCTTATGAGTTCTCTGTTTTGTTTCCCAGTAGAAGCAAATATTGAAAAAATTAACTTACCCAAATTCGGAAGATCTTGTTGAGAGACGACAGAACTAAAGAATTGTACTTGAAGTGCCAAGAAATTAGGTTTGAAGCAAAATAAAAAACTATGGAAATTTTTGAGTTGTATTTGTTGATGGAAGAAAGTACAGAAATGGTTACTTCTAGAACTATGTCGAGTATTTTTATTAGTCACTCTTAAGACTTGTGAAGAATCATATGATTCATTGTTGTAATCATTGTTGGGGTTGGAGGAAGAGAGATGGAAGAACTTGATTCTTCTATTCAGAGGGGTTTAGAAAAATCTGGAGTCCACTTTGTGCTAATGAGGAAGATGTAGGGTTCTAGAATTATGGAGAAAGTGTAATGTCAGGTTAAATTTATCGTTTTGTCCTTGGTCGTCCTAGTCGTCTTCACTCTTCTATAAAATAAAATATGCTAAATGGTGGTTGCAAACACCTTTTTTTATTAGAGCGATTTAAAATCGAACTAAAACTGATAATTCAAATAAAAAAAATTATTGGTTTAAAGGTTTTATTTTTTAATCATTGGATTGTCGGTTTTTAACGGTTTGAAGTTTTTACTTAACGGGTTAATCGATAACCTAATAGTAAATTAAAAAAATTATATTTATAGCATTTGGTATATAAAGTCCTCGACTTAGGATTTAGATTCATATTTTTATTTCTGGCAGTGACAAACTTTCGATTATTCTCCAATGTGTTAGTGTTGCTTTTGAACAAGATGCAATCTATCAACTCATATGCATGGTTTATTCAGTTTGTCATCGTGTTTCTAAGTGATTTCGATTATTTAATTTTTGTGTCAAATCTTAAAGGGGAAGACAGCTGTTTTCCACTTCTATATGCTCCTTCTACTTTAACTCTATTACTAAAAATTTATGGAAAATTGATGGTTCTCTAATTTCAAATGGATTGTTTTCCATTTGTGACAAATGGAAAAGTCTCAATCAAGGAAGCAACATATATCATTTACAAATGACTTAAAAGGCATTAAAAATTACAATAATTATCAATTTAAAATATTTAAAAGCTATATAATACAATACGTTGACTCTCAGAATTCTATCAAACTCACATATATTGGGACAGAAACAATAACACATATCATTTTAAAATGAACAAAAAAGTATTATAAATAATAATAATTAACAACTTAAAATATCTGAAAGACATTTTAAAAGGGTTAATTTT